AACAATATTATCGAGGGGGGGGGGGGATCTTACCAGCATAGATATCTTCACTGATATTAATGATCCGGGATGCCTTGCTGATACCACCGCGCGTAATATGGAAAACTCTGTCGAATACATCTGGATGACCATAATGCATTCGGATCCTGGAAATTCACAAAACTTAGAATTAACATTCTATCATAATTTCATGGTTTCAACCAAGATAAAACTAATAGATAGAAGTAACTTACTTTAAGGGTTTTGCTAATACTCGTTGACCAAGAGTTACAAAGCTGGTTTCTTGATTGGACATGAATGAGGCCAAGGAAGAGACACTGCATGTTGAGAAACAATTACATAAGGTAATGTAAGGTGCAAACAGGAAAGCATATACACACTCTGGTACGCACCTTCCAGTGAATACATGTTCCCTGACTCCAAGAATAGTAGGAGGTCGTATTCCATGGTCACAATGAAATTCTTCCAAAAGATTTCTCATCTTCAAGGCTTCTTCAAAATAATTATCCTATGTGCACAGCCAAGAAAGAATATATAACAACAGAAAAAACCAGTGGCTCCAGTAAAAAGTACAAGCTGGCCTATGTGAATTCAAAATTCCCTTGAGCATACGCCTAAGCGAACATTCCAAAATACCTATGCGCTGATGCTGCTCTCACAGCCTATAATTTTATTAACTTTTAATATTTGTTAAACTTTTAGCTTTGGTTAACCTCCTTTTTTTTGTTCATAATAGAAAATGACAGAGATACAAAAACGTAAAGCCTGCATGTCTAATCCGAGTTTGAATTTGATAAGTACTTACAGTTTACAGCTTTGTGTTTAGTGTTTTGTATAGCTTAATGGTATCTAGTCTATAGTTGTGTGTGTTTGGATATGTTGGTAAGTTAGTAGTTAGTAGTTAGTTCAGCCTTTTTTAGCTATAAATACAGGTTAGAAGGATTAGAAGGGTTTTAATCAGAATTTTGGGGAAAAAAGGTTACGGTTTGGGTTGAGAGCGGAGGTCTCTCGTTAATCAAGTCTCTAGGGTTTGTTTTCTGGTTTTGTGAGCAATAAAGCGTTGAGTTTTCAGAGGGAAACCTGAGTTTCAGGTTCTGAAACTTATCAGAATTTCAGGAGCAAACTAACCATAACAATCCATAAATATATACACACTAACCTGATTCATATCAATAGTTTGGATTGCATTCCCACGAGTAAATACGATAGCATGATTTTGATTCTCAGGTTTGCCTTCCCCAAGTTTCGGGTCTCCAGGCAATTTGATGGAATAGATTTCCTGCATAACCGAAAAAGCCCAGGGAAGCAATTCAAAAGAATAAAATTGTAAGACCAGAAAGGGAAAGAAAGAATGTATCTGCCGACTGCCAACTCTTGAGCAGAGTAGTTATAGACTGCGTATCACTTGTAGCATGGTAAACCTTTAGAATATTGAATAGAGTACGTGCAGTATACACCCCTTGTAGCAAGTAAAGTATCTTGAATATCAAAAGTAAACACAAAAATAGGGTGGATGAAAGATACCTTATCCTTCCCATTGATGTCAGCCTTCACGAGCTTTGAGTAATATTCAGTGTGCGTTTTACCCTCCTTTGGAGTTTCGACAACATCAATGTAAGCAACACGAAGGGCTTCGTTCCTGACAAAAGAATAAAAGGTATCGATGTCATGAAATTGAATTAGGGACTGGAGAAGTAGCAATAGAGACATAAGGTAGAAACATATTTACTTAGGTGAAAGAGAGGCAACAAAAGGGCATCCTACCTTTGCATCAGCAACGCAATGTCAGCAGCTTCAGGTTTTTGCTCTTCCTTCTGTCTGCCATATATTTGACATGTGACAACATACGTAAACTTTAGATCTGCTTGAGCCCTTGCTTCAGGAGATAGCTCAAATCCATCTGAATCCATTGCATCATTACCAGAAAAGCCAGATTCCCCGTCTGAAATTTTGATGCATAATAAGCTAATTACCAAAGCAGGCTTTGCAAAAGCATATTCAGAGAAACCACTTACCTCCACTGGTCTTTCTTTCCAGATAAGACTGAAGCATAAGTGCCTTCCTATAGTACATCATTCCACGAACTGCAGGTTTAATTCCAACCAACATGTAAGAAAAAATGCTACATATATGTACAGCAACTGAAATTTCAAATACTCTTTTTCAAGCATTCTTAGAAAAAGGGGAAGTTTAAATCATATACTTGATGGACGAGACTAAAGTAACCCCATCATGCGCTAACAATACCCGTGCAGGGTAAATCCGCAAGAAACTTGGCACAAACAAAAAAGTTACTACTTTTGATACACAACAACACTTGTCGGTTTACCTGTCCTGGCTAGGGTTTGTCCACGATAAGAGGCCCAAAGTCGAAGTTCAAGTATCTCTCTCTCGCTGTCAAGATCACCTTCTAATGCATTTTCATCCCGTCCAATTCGATCAAGGAAGTTCTTCCATTCATCTGAAACATATCATCAACTATCCATGAGAAACATTTTGGCCAACTACCCAGTACAGTAATCAGTAATGCAAGCATACAGCTACTCATCCATCTCCAACAACTTAACAATCTTTAGTTTTCCGAAAGAAAAAAAACTACCTAGTGCAAAAACAAAAAGACTTAAATATAAACACATCCTAGACATGCATTGCATGTCCATTTCCGTATCCTAAATCTATTTTTCCAATTAGTTATATCCTTTTACCCATTGATCGCACATCATGTTACAGCCCCTACTACATTGATAACTACTAGCCTGTCCAAAATCACTCTCCACAGTAGGGAGAAGACAACCATGTAAGTGACAAACCTATTGTCCATTTGTGGTCTAGGAAGCAAAAAGAGGGAAAAAATAGGCGAGAGCCACCAAAATATGAAAAAAAAAACACTTGGTGGAAAAATACCTGGATATATTTTCTGAAGGTAAAACAAGATTGATATCCCATCCTCATTTTTCTTTGTCAGCTCTTGCATGCTATATAGCACGGTTTCAGAATAGTATGGAGTAAACACACTGACAATAAAGTCCAAAGAAGGGAGACAGTTAATTTATGAGCATGTTTGGACAACATCATTTAAATCAGAGTGAAAGTTAGACCTGAAAGACAGCATCTCGCGGACAGGCCTTGTTGGGGGCATGTCCATGAAAAGAGAGTTTGTGAAGAATTGCAGCCTGCGTCTGGCCTCAAGATTCTTAGGAACATTGGCTGCAGAATCTTTGATAGTTGATAGGGAGTACAATCTTTTGACAAGTGCTTTCTGCCAAGTCAGGAGGATCAATGACATTCACAGAAAAGTAAAAGAGCATCCAACAGCCTTAGAAATAGAAACCTTCGCTATACCAGTTCAGCATCTTTTGGCCAGTTCAATTTCGTAAAGAGCCGACCTTCATTCCTCGCTTGCGATAATATATTCCACGTCTCATAATTACCCCTAAAACAGAAATAAATTTGCATAAACCACACCTGAGGAGGAAATTTTGCAGCAAAAACAGCTAAATGATACAGTTTATGTACCTCATATTCACAGATAATATGTCAAGTCGCATAACATCATAGAGATCCTGAAGAGCCTTGATGGCCCCTTTTTCATTCTCTGGTGTCTCATTTTCTTTCTATCCACAGATTAAACGAAATTTAGAAGAGAGTACATAGAGTGAGATTCAACAAGGAAAACTAAAATACTAAGGGATAATGGATCTTAAAAATAAAAAACTGGGTACTCTTCTCCTGCAAAGGAAGCTCATATCAACACTCACTTTTTGATATACGTGCATTATGAAGATCGCTATTATCAACAATGAGTCTATTAAATGAAATTCTTATCAAGATAGAATAAGAACGGGCAGTTAGTAACTAATGAAACATACCAGGATCCCCATCAGAGCAGTCACTCTGGTGATAACCAGGGAAAGTTTGTTCAGCTGCAGGTCATGATGAATGTTCCTATTCTTCATGCTGGTATGAATGTCGTCGTAGATTCTTTCAACCCTAAAGAATAAACATTTAATAAGATTTCTTTCATCACATTAAATTAATTCAAAGTAACATCAGCGTCAGAAAATATATTACCACATCCTCCCTTCGGCTTCCAAAATTTCTGTTAGGACAAGCTTGAGAGTGTAGTAGACTTCCTCGACAGCATACATCATATAATCATCTTTTGTGATTCTCTCCCAAAGCTCTTCTTGTGAAATACTATCGGCAGCAATATCTTTTGCCAATAAAATCTGGAAATAAAAAAATAGAAAAAGAATTCATCAACTAGAATGTTAACACCATAAACAAATTTTAATGGAAAGCAGCGAGAGTAGCCATATGAACACAAACAATGGGAAACGGAGAAGAAAAATAGATATTTAACTAGCAGATAAGCACATTCACCTTGCTGGCAAGAAGGAAAAGGGGCCACTGAACCAATGAAAGTCTACCAGAATTTTTGGGTATCAGGAGCAACTCCATCTCACTAGACAGATGATTGAGTAAGAAAAATGTGTGAAATCAAAACAATAAAAAGGGAGAAACTAAATAAAACAGGAACCAAGGAATGATTGCAATAGCACGTGCAGCGCTTACAAGTCTGCGATATAGTCTTCCTCTCGTAGACTTTTAATTATTTGATTCCAAAATGGAGCAAAGTGAGCAGCATCAACTTTGTTCTCCTCCACAACCTTCGCATAATCATGTCCGGACATGCATAATATTGAAGCAAGAAAATTAACAAGCAAATAATAAAATACAAACCCATTTGGATTTTCTAGAGCTAGAAAAAGTGCAAAGGCACCTTGACAACCAAATGATTTGTATGTTGGAATTAGCAATACAATTTACAAAGAATAAACAGGATGCCAGCGCCTAAGTAACTGTAATGGTACATGAACCCACAATAGAAAGTTGAACCAAACCCGTTCCTCAAATAGATGAAAACTTGGTAGTTCCCTTGTTAAAGGTAAGGTGCATGCTTACAGAACGATTTGAGACTGTTTAACACAACATTAAGTTCACTTGTATATAGCTCCTAAAAAGATCTATTTATTAAATTTGAGTGAAATTGATTACATATTCTCTTAAGCGACCATCTCCTAAATCTAGCTAGAAGTGACCCCATAGTATAAATCCTGGAGATTGTCCTTAAAACCACAATAACTTTCCAGAAGCATACATATAAAAACATGAGAAAGAGTAATCTCTAAGTCATTTTTCTCAGTTTTTGAATCCTCTTGTTTTCTATCAGTCGTATTTTAATGAAGTTATAATTTCAGTATTTTTTTCGACTGACGTAAGGTTGCAATTTAGCATTTGATAGTTAAAGTAGGAAGAGCAGAGGATACACTATAATTAGGATACAAACCTCACCAGTCACATCAAGTTAAAAAATAATTAGTTCTAAATTTCCACATGATTATAGAACATGTGAAAAGAACTATGGAGCCATGTTTCAGGGAGACAACACACAAAAGTAGACAAATTTGACCTTAAGCAACATTCTTATATTGAGCCAAGTTCATGAGCATCAATAGGCAGCTAAGGAACCGGAACAGATATAAAAATGTACCGGGACTATACTCTACGACTCAAACAGAACCGCACCTTCTCTGAAGGAAATTAAGAAAGATAAAGATGAAGACATACCCCGCATAGGAAAGCATAACACATTCACAAATAAGGTTCCTGAATTGATTAATGTTTCTTTTTCACAGAAGATTAGATTTTAAAGGCCTGTATCAATGACATACTAACAGTTTAGCAAAGCACAATGGAAGCAAAAAAGCAGAATTCTGGAAGCAAACTTCAGGACCATGAGGAACAAGTTTTCTCTCCTTTTCATAGTTGACACCCTAAACGTGTGAACCTCATGTAGTTACAACAGACAAAATGATACCTTTTCAACTGTTATGGGCATTTCAGTCAGTTCAGTTATATGTATAGAATCTAAAGGACCAATATGCTGTGAAACAAATATATGCTAACAATAAACCATTTCCTTCGATTAGCATTTTTCTAGTCAAATTTCTTATTATACTACCTAAAGAGGAATCACCCTATAAATTCAGTATTTGAACTTGCCAACAAACACTAAATTCAGCAAGGAAAGCAACATGATTCACCTGTCGAGATGAAGGATCAGAATTCCTGCACAAGATTTTGAATTAAAGAGAAAAGTTAACAAGGACAAAAGGAAAATCCTTTCTAGCAGAAAATATAACTTAAAACAAGGTGCTTAGAGAGAATAAGAAAAGGAATTCAACCGATTCTTGAGAGGAACATGAAGAGTCTTTATAAAGGCTCCAGGAAACTCCTCAAAGAGTTTGTGAATAGCGTCCAAAGATCTTATCTGTAGAAGGTAAACAGCAATTAAGTAACAAACAAACAAAGGTACAAAAGACAACTACCGGTTGCAAACACAGAGTGACAATCTTAAATCATTTTCATTTCGCCATTGTGAGTAATAAGAAAGTCTCAAACACTTACTTCTCCTAAACGATCTCTCGCTCCGAGCAAGAAACCCAAAAAGGCAGAGACGAGGGTGTAAAAGATGTGAATGTCTAACAGATAGATCTGTTAATTAAAGTAGAAAGTCAAAGAATAATATGGAAATACTGTACATGTGAGAGGAAAGAACAATTACAATATAAACATCTAAAAATAACAGAGTACATTATCAGGGCAAGACAAAATAGTTCTAACAGAAACTTCCAAAATATCTAAAAGAGGAGAAACTTTACTAGCCACTATTTTTTTTTAAATAACCTCTCAAAGAAGCAAAAGAAAAACATGAATCTACAAGCATATGTAAAGTAGACCAAACTTACAGCGACCACAGGAGCCCATAAACTGGCAACAGTCAGAGCATTATAGTTGTCTGCATCAAGAAAGCAATAACCCAATGACAAAATTACAAAAAGATAAAAAATAGTTTCCTGTTAGAATATATATTTCAAGATAACACACATATCAGCACAAAAACACTTGTGAAACTCACTAGACAGACCTAACAATCACACACTCTAATATTTCAGAGAGCTGTGACCATGTTATCACATGCTGGCAACACACATGCGGCAGGAATAATCCGAAGAGAACAGAAAACTGCTTAAGGTCCAAAGCCATGTCTCCAATCAAAATCTAGTCACCTAAAAGGGCAGCCCGGTGCACAAAGCATCCCCGCTCAAGGTCCGAGGAAGGGTCACACCACAAGGGTGTATTGAAGTCAAACCTTACCTTGCAGAATATTCTGCAAGAGGCTGATTCTAGTCACCTAAAGTGTTATATCAATTGTATACTTACTTCTTGACACCAAATCATGCCAGGAGTATGGTATATTATTCTGGGTCACTATAGTCCTTGTTGGGCTAACCAGTGGCGCAATCTGTAAATTCACAAGGGAAGAGAAAAAAATAAATCATTATGACAAGGATCTACATTATAAATTCAAGTTCCACAGTACTGCCAACAAAATATTATCGTCATTTTTATCTTAATGATTACTAAAGTTTCTGACTCCAGGAGATCTCAATGAAGAGAGAGATATCCTTCATTTCTGCAGTGAATAAGTATAAATTGCCTTCACAAATTATTTGGACGTGAAGAGCTCACTGGTTAGCTTGGGCTTGACATTGACTTTACACTGCATAAGACTCAAGCCTTTTGAATCGAATTATAAGGAAAGCTTTAGATACATTAGTAATGTTCATGCCAGTAATCACAAACTTCAGTAATAACTCATTAAAATGAAACAAAACCTAAAAGAGATTAACACATTATTTCTCCCTCCCGAAAACTGTGGTTTATAGATTTTGCATTCAGTTCAACTGTAAAATATGAGAATGTCCTTCATGAATTATGAGAATTAGAACCCAACCTACTAGATTACGGATCGAAGCTGCTTTTGGTTACAAGTACAGGAATTCAAAGAATTGGAACAGGGTCATAAAATACACATCGACAAGCCAAAGAAAAGAACAATTGAACAAGGTCAGTAAATGAGAAAAAGAAAGGTGGAAAGCCACCTATAACAAAGGAAATAGACAAAAAAGAAGTTGTTTGAGGTTGATGCACTAACCTGAAGAAAGAATGCAAAAGAGAATTTTGCAGCCAGAACAGCAACCCAAAACAGCAAGTACCTGCGTTGTACCTTGACTCAGTAAAACCTTCCACAGGTTAAAGTCGCTAGGGCAGTAAAGGCTGCTAACGTCCATTTGGTATTAATCAAAAAAGTTTTTCTGTGTTTCTCCGACTTCTCTGATAAGCCAAATTTACTAGAATATTTTGCTGTTATCTTTTATCATTAGACATTTGCAGCAAATTATTTGCAGTAGCAGTTATATGAACTCTAGTAACTATCCCGCATTTGCACAAAAACGTAAATAATAAAAGATGAAGCTGAAGAAATTACTTGATAAAATCAGATGTCTTTTCATACATGCCACGGCCAACATAGTGCCTTTCCTGAGAAAAACAAACATGGAAGTATCAGAAAAGATTGATAGGCAATGAAGCAACTTTTCAAGAATAAAGAGTGAAAAGAGTAACACGAGGCATAGAACCTGGCGCATCCACTTAAAGAAGCGAATCACAGGCCATCGATCACATTGGTCAGTCATGTAGTGGCAAGCCGGGATACGCATCAGAAAACTTATAAAAAACTGGACACCACCATAGATGGCAATGACAATCACATAAAGCTTGAAGACGACTGAACTAGAATTTGGTTTAGTATCCTCTTGAAGCGCCCTCCTGCCCAAAATACAGAAACTATCAACATCAGAATAATTGATATCTAGCCCAAAAAAGATAACAGATGAAAGAAGACTAGCAATGACATATAAAAACTGAAAAAAAAAAAGCAGAAAGTTCCAAGAAAAGAATGTTTACATACACATAGAGGAACGAGATGAAGACAGAGGCACAAGCAAACCAAATAAAACGAAGAAAAATGCGAGATACAGCCAGTCTTCTTGTTGTAGAATATGCGCCATACATCATTATAACATCCAGAACACCTATAACATTAACCAAAAGCTTTTTCTTCACCAATTGATTACCACCAGGAATGATCAGACTAAAGTATGCAGTTTAAAACTGACTCTCAGTGAACTTCATCAGAACAAATGTTGGACCCAGGCTGAGAATTTCGCGCAAAGTCCTCCTAGAGACAAGGTGATGTTTGTTGAACGCAATTATGGTCAGTCCCTGGAAAAGAATTCATTAGAACGTGCCAGAAGGTGAGACAGTTTTTGTTATTATACAATCCACAATACAAGGGGAAAAAAAGTAACCAAAATCAAAAGAAAAAATTAAAGACATCTTAAACTATCAACAATTTGTTAATCAGACAACACAACCAAAAAAAGCAGACGAATATTAAGGACGAGCAAGAAAACAAAAACAGAACTACAGACCTGAAACATCATAGCAAGAAATATCCATAACCGATGGAAGCTATGGTACAGATGCAAATATGTCCGGTGTTCAACAAAAGAAGTCTTTCCTCGATGTTTTCCCCCACCAGTTTTAAGCTCGTACTGTAAGGAGAAAACCAGCAGATCAATTTGATGCAGTAAGTGATTTAAAGAAAGTCTATAACTAGATCTTGTGGGTAGCACAAAAGAGTGAACAGATCAATATGTAGATATTACATCCATCGCTTGCTTAACAAAATTAGAGAAAAAGGAATGAGAAATCGCTACACTGAAAAGAGGTCAAAACAAGAACGAAACCACAACACCTGCATAACTTTAACTTCAAAATATTACAAATGGTGTAGGGATTTAGTTCTAGATTGTTGCAAGTGGTCAAACGTAATGCTTCTTATGTATGCATAGATGCTTTATTCTGTTCATTTGAAAGTGGTCACCATGGAAGCAACAAACACAACATGAATTCAAAAAATCATATTATGAACAACAAGCAAATACTTCAAAACCTTTCGCCTGGGTATAGGTTTCTGGAAAAAGGATGAACTTCTGCGCCAAGGCCAACCAAGCTCGAAGCAGTGAAGCGACCTGGAAAAGTAAAAATGTCAGCCAATAGAACAAATGAAATTTCATGCAATGGACAATAAAGGAAAATATTTACCAAAAATACTCATTGAAGTCATCGTAGTTTCTCCAAGCTGAGTGAGGTGCTCGACCATTGTCATTGTTAGAAGCTTCCTACGCAAGAGAAATAGCATACATGCAAGAGAAAGCATGTATAAAAGTATCATTTTGTTATGCAATATATAATGGATTTTACCAAACCAGCATAGTTTCTATTCTACATATATACAAGCTATAAAACAGATTAGACAACATTTCCAAAGAACAAAACAACCCATGAAATAACTCTCTAATACAAAAGGAGCAGGATTTCACATGGGCATCTACACCTAAAACAGAAGTCTGTCAACTGGAACAACTATAAACTTATACATAAATGTTTCCAGTCAATCCAGCCAGAAACTGGATATTCAACCCTAGCTTTCAACAGGAATTAACAAGGGTAAACATCAGACAGATTGTGTGAGAAATGAATGTAACAAATGAAGATTTTGTCCACCTAGGGACTTCGCTAGACTGTGACTAATATGGTGAAGGTTTTTTACCATTTCTAATATATACCAGACACTTTCATCCTACTTTCTGTGTATTAGTTCCTGAATGTTAAAAAAGAATACCATTTGAAGCAGCAGTACTATGATCAAGAAAGACCAACTAATTTGTCAAATATGAAGAGATCCAAAAAGGAAAGTTTATAGATTCGAGGTTCCAAAAAAGACTTTACAGGAACATACCGCGGCAACCACTTCATACAGCGGAGCAATTACATGATCAAGGAATGATACACCATCATCAGCACTGCGACTTTCAGGTGGCTTGCAACTGTCAGCGGTACGAGCAACACGCTGTCTCAAAATTTCATCCATTTCTCTTACCATCTGCAGGAAAAAAAATTAGAATAAAAAAGAATTGCAAGAAATGAGCAACTATCATGACAGAAATTATGAACAAGCCCACTAGAACAAACAACAAGATTAATCAATTAAGAGAGGGTTTGGCACAAATTTCAGAGCACATAAGAAATAAACCCATTGACCTATTCAAGCACATAATGGTTATATTTACAAGTAAAATAAGTATTCAGGTAAGCATATCTTACATGGTGGAATATGTAGCACAAACATTCTGGAAGAAACCTGATATTGGCAGCTTCACCCCAAATCAGGAAGTACAAGGAGAGGAAGAGTACTTTCTTTTCTCCACTAACGGCCTCCAAACTGCACATTCAAGATCCTTGGAATGAATACGCAACTGGAAAGTAAAAGGAAAAATGGAGAGGGGGAGATGAGACCCTACTTGCTCCAAGCAGGTTGAATGCACAGGTAATCACACCACTTGATGTAGTTGTCCAGGGTCTTCAAGAACACCTTTCGTACCACAGCCTCATCCAATTTCTAACCATCAAAAAGGCAATCCATTAGATTTTAAGATGCAACTAACAATCTTAGACAAGGAGAGGCAAAAAAACAGAAACTCTGTCCCCGATATACTCTTCAGTACATGAAAAGTGAGAGAGAAATCATCAACATATTAAAATTGAAAAAGCTTCTATACTTACAGGATCCATTTCGCCAGGAATTCTAAGACGAGATTGCTCGTTAGCAAGAAGAAGAACTATATGTTCACGCTGGTTTGAGACATTGTCTTTCTGAGGCCATAAAGATTGATATGTCAGAAACTGCATAAACCCTTGTACTTGAATTGAAGCTAAAGCCAAAGTATTGCATTCCATGTTAAGCTAAAATACTACAGTATCAAAAGCACAAACCATCACGTGTTCACACAGAGACATCATATACATGACAAGGAAGGAAAACTAGAAGGAAATAGAGGAGGATTAAGCACATGACCAGGAATGATATTATGAAATCTTAGACGTAAAACAAAGTAAGGTCAAACTAGAAGAGCCTTTAAAGATTCTACATGAGTTTTCAGATCTTCAATGCATACCAAAATGTTCAAAGGTGGAATTCAGAAAGTCATATAAACCATTTCAACCTCTCATCTCTAGCATCAACCATATACTACACATATTCTGTCAACCAATAAGAGCTTCCCAGTTTTACATACCTGAAACCCAAAAACGTAGTGCAGTAAATCAAATATATCAGCATTCCTTGTTGTAGGAATGGGAAAATCTGTCGGTAGTTTTGGTAAGTCTTGGAAGTATTTCAATGCTGCAACTGCTGCTTGCACCTGCTTACAAGTTTTTGTCAGCATTCAAGACAAGACAAAAAATCATTCACACATTAGGACAAAATAGAAATTACTCACCTCAGGGAAAGTCGTTACAGCATTCGTGGAGACAGGAGCATCAAGAGGAATGATGTTATAAGCAATTGTGTCTTCGCTCATTGCTGCATCTGAATCAATTACACGCTTCAGCTGTAAAAGTATAAACGAAAAAGCATTAACAGCTGCATTCTGAATAGACTACATTCAGAGAACAGAATATGCAATGAATAATAAAACTCAAATTGCCATCTTCTTTTGAAAACATATATCATCATCATTATTCCTTTGCTCAGTAGCTTTTTAATCAGCTTCATTTCAAGAAACTTAGCCATCTGATAGATAATCATGAAAGACCTCCCAAGCTTAATGAACTGAAGCCATGTCATCCCCATGAGAACAAAGAGAATAGCAAAAAGAAATCACTTAAATTGAGGCAAACCATGATCTTACAGCAGGTTTAATGTGCTAGTTTCAAAGTTGCTTACTTTCAAATTTCTTATGCTGAAACTAAAGAAGATTTTTTGTTACTGCTCAGAAATTACAAATAATATTCCTACTAAACATGCAAGACAGTCCAGCCATATTCCTATATTTCTTTCAAGTATCTCCTAGTGGCATGTTAGGAATTCCTCTAGGGTAAATTATTGTTTCAGAATCCTGCTG